CTGTGTACCAGGTGCATTTTGCTGGGTTTTAAACACCAGAGGCTCAGCCTCAAAACTCACATCTACATGTCACCACAGTAGGACAAACCGACAGAAAAGTTTGTCTTGCTGTTGGAGACCTCTCGTATCACCCCCACCTGGGTCCCTGTGGCTGATTGTTACTCTGTCTGGCTTCCTGGCTTTTAATCCTCTTTCTTCTGCTCTTCTGGCCTGTTGCTTTGGGCGTCTCTGAGTTGTCTCTCCTCACCTGAGTTTCCTCTGGTCACCTAATCCCTTTGGCTGATTACTCTTCTCTCTGGCTTCCTGGCTTTTAATTCCCTTTGTCCTGCTCTTCCCGCCTGCTGCTTGGGCATCCCTGAGTTGTCTGTCCTCACCTGTAACCCTGGGGCTGACCATAGCTAGAAGAGCCATATTTAGTAATTCACTGGGCCACATGCACCATTTCTATTCTCCCTTGCCACACCATCATGGTCATGAACATTAGCTGAATGCATGCCTTAGGTATTGAAAAACTGAGGCCACTTATATATATATATATATATATATATTTTTTTTGAATGTATAAAATTAAACTTTATTAGCAATTTTTCAGAATACATCTGACTTGTAAAGTGAACTATAGTTGTTATTGTTAGTTGCTGTCAAGTTGGTTCCAAGTCATAGAGACCATATGTACAACAGAAAGAAACACTGCTGGTCTTGCATCATTCTCAAAAGCCTACTATGCTTGAGCTCATCATTGCAGCCACTGTGCCAATTCATCTCACTGAGAAGTCTTCCTCTTTTTCACCTACTCTCTACTTTACTTATATATATATTTGTAATGTCTTGGTATCTTAAGATGATAAAAAAGAGGGATGCCAAAACAGGCTTACAATGGAAACAATTAGTCCAAGGGACTGGTAGGCCATGTGATACTCAGCCTACATGACCATGAGACCAGAAGAAGTAGATGGTGCCCAGCTACCACTGTCAATCACTTGGAGGTAGATCAATGGAGGAGACCCTGGATAGAGTGGGAGAACAATGTGGAACAAAACTCAAAATCATTTAAAAAAAAAAAAAAAAAATCAGGTTTGCTGGTCTGACAGAGCCTGGTGAGACCCCTGAGACTATGGCCCCTAGCCACCCTTAAGATCTGGACTTGAACTCACTTCTGTGGCTTCCAGCCAAACAACAGACAGGCATATGGGGTGAACATTTACATCAGGTAGATACACTCCTTGGAGTGATCAATCATGGGAGAACAGAAGCGTAGTGCATGCACAAGGAGACTGCTGTAGGCAGGGGGTGGGGGCAGGAATGCATGGAGGGGAGGACATAGGGAAGAGGTAACTATGGGGAGGAAGTGGGAAGAGAGCTGTTACACTGTGGGAAATTGCAGTCAATGTCATGAGATAAAATGTGTAGGAAGTGCTGTATGGAAAATGACTTTGCTTTCTAAACTTTCATCCAAATCACAATAAAAATTAAGAAAAAAAACAGGCTTACAAAAATTGTGGTTCACACATGCGAACACAAATACATTATTGTCCACAAGATAATTACAAGATTTATAAAAATTATTTATAAAACCAAAACCAAACTCACTGCTGTTGAGTCATTTCTGACTCATAGCGACCCCTCCTTGGGTTTCCGAGGCAGTTTCTCTAACAAAGTAGATTGCCCAATCTTCCTTCTGAGGAGTGGGTGGTGGTTTTGAACCACCAGCCTTCTGCTATGCTATCAGATGCCTTACGCACTATGCCACCAGAGCGCCCATTAAAAAAAAAAAAAAATCATTTATGTTGTTGTTGTTGTTATGTTGTTGTTGTTGTTAAGTGCCGTCGAGTCGTTTCTGACTCATAGCGACCCCATGCACAGCAGAACGAAACACTGCCCGATCCTGCGCCAGCCCCACAATCCCTGCTATACTTGAGCCCATCATCACAGCCACCGTGTCAATCCATCTTGTTGAAGGCCTCTCCCTCTTTCGTTGACCTTCCACCCTACCAAGCATGACATCCTTCTCCAGGGAATCTGTTGTTGTTATAACACATTTAAATAGATAGTGTGCACTGTCTATAATGGGGCACAAAATTAAAGTTGTAGATGTATGCATTTTCCTTTATCCTGTGAGTGTTTCTTTATGATTGTGTGTAGAACTTCATGTGGAGACATTTAAAACTTTAAACTTGAGGTTCTTCCTGAATGCTAAATTTGGACCAAATGTCATACTTATGTTGTATCTGTCCTCCATTTCTATTACTGTGCATTTACTAGAAATTGATGGAAATCAATTTCAGTGATTGAGGGCTGTAATAGGGGAAGACAGACTGAAGAGTGAAACAGGTTCAACAGAGACACTTTTATTAAGCCTTGGACAGCACAAAGACAAAACAATCATCCAGGATGAGGGAAACCATCAGCATGTACACAGCAAATACATAATTAAAAGGAGTCTGCTGAGTCACAGCCATGGGGCTAGTTATAGATGACTGAAAACAAAGGGAATCATCACAGAATCATGACCGGTGCCAGATTGATTTATCTGTTTCAGGTGGGACTACAGAAGCCAGGTAAGGACCATGATTGGGATATAACTGAAGACAGAAAAGGGTCACAGGATTGGTTCTGGGTCTTGACTACCTGGCTAGTGGTAGTCTGGATATGACTCATGACCATGCTTGTCTGAGTCTTAGCCACAAGGTGGCTGCCAAACAATACAAAGACCCCCAACCTTAATTTAAATTAGAAAAGGATACACTCAGGCAAGTTCCCTAGTTCTTTGTGTGCGCATTAACATACTTTCAACCACACTTCCTGAAAGCAAACTGCCCTGGCATAGGTTTGTCCTTGAACTTGTCTATGCATAGACACAACGCTGGTTTAATGGTCAGAAAGAACCCAAATGGGTCTGAAACTTATGTCAAGCCTCAAAATGGAGTTAGGGCTCCCACTGCGACCACAGCCTTCCACAAACCCAAGTCCTTTAGAGTTTCAGCTCTAATCCAGGGCCTAATATTTTGTCTATTTTGGCATTCCCAACAGGCATAAAATATAATTTAGGGGACAAAGGTCTATTAGAGTTTGTGCCAGGAAATCTCTGAAATTTAATAAAGACCTAGCTCTGCTATCGGAGTGGCACTGTAGCTAGACTGGAGCTGGTAAGTTCTCCCCACGACCTTGGCAGCCAACGGCATCTCGCCTTTGGTACCGGGAGCAACTGGCCAGGATCTCACGCCTTACTTGCGCACAGGCGCCTCTGGGGCCTCTCGGTCCCACAGGCTGTTCGGGGAGATTCCTAGAACACCGCGCCACCCCTTGGCAACAGGACTACGCGCAGGGAGGGCTGGGGGCGGGGCTGGAGCGCCATGGGCGGGGCGAGGGCCTGGCAGGCGGGCCGCGGGCGGGGCGGGCGGCCGGCCCTGGAGGCTCCGGGCTTCCCTACTTTTGAGCGTGGAGAGTGAACCGCACTACGGCGGTCTGCAGCAAGCCTGAACAGCTGGTCACAAATGGAGCACCCAGACTACTCCATTCTGTCCGAGGTGACAAGTGGAAATGATACGACAGACGTGTCCGCGGCATCCGAGGCCCACCAGGCGCCGCTAGCGCTCAGGTTCCTGGACGTGCTCGACGAGCCGGGGGAGACCGAGGAACCCGAGTTGGCCGAGTTGGCCGAGCAGTCCGAGGAGCCCGGCGGGTCCGAGGTGCACGGGGTATCTGAGGAGTCCGAAGAGCAAGGCCAGCTAGACGAGTCCGAAAAGTTGGAGGAGCCCACTGAGTGGGACAAAGCCCCTGAGGCCCACAAACCTCCCGACGCCTACGAGCTCCGTAAGCCTCGTAAGCCTCGGAAGATTAATGAGAACCTGGAGCTAGGCGATGCCAAGTTACTTTCTCCCCTAGCAGTGACTATCTCCCCGTCCCTGGTGGTCAAGTCTCAGCCACAGGTTCAGCTGTCTTCCACGTGCGGTAGGTGTTGGGGCCCCTCCCAGTCACTGAGCACCGCCCCATCTACAACTGGGGATCCTGATGGTGAAAGGTTGCGTCCAAAAGCTTTTTTTTTTCCCCCTTAAGAGCTTGTTTTCTTTTGTTTTAATCAAAGGTAACTCCTGTGTTATTTGTCTGCTACTTTGCAGTCGCCCCTCTTTGGATCTAAGGGACTGTGATGGGAAATTGAGACCCTGGTAATGAGAGAAACGGAATCTCTTCACTGGTTCCTCCCTCCAGCTGATGACCCCCTACTGTTCTGGATGACACCTTGTCACCTCTTTTTGAAGCTCTTCTTAATTCTCCTCTGCAGTTAGGCATTGTATCCCTTTGTGTTGCCACTTCCAACGTATCCATTACAACACTTAAGCTTTTGTATTATGTCATCTTTCTCTTCAAGTAAACGGAGAGCACATTGTCAACACTCAATAAATATTAACTATCACACTCTGGTAGCGTAGTGCCTAAGGCACTTGACTGCTACCCAGAAAGCTAGTGGTTCAAACCCACCAGCCACTCCTCGGAAGGAAGATTGGACAAATCTACTTCTGTAGCAATACTGCCTCGGAAACCCAAGGAGGGGTGGCTGTGAGTCAGATCTAACTTGATGGCAGTGAGTTTGGTTTTGGTTTTGGTATCACACTGTTAAAGTTGTAGAAACAACACATTCATTGTACAAATATTCAAAGAATACATAAGTATACAAGTGGGTTATTCTATGTTCAGTCCTCATGGAATTCACAAGGTAACAAGGCTGATGGGACTTATATCACACCTGCTCATTTATGACCCTTCACTTATGACCCCACCCAAAACAACTTTTCATATACATTAGGCCTCTAATGCTTATGCTGACCACTTTTTTTTTTTAATCTCATGTTTCCTCTGACTCCCCCTTTACCCACCATAGATTCTATGGTCTATCATTTCAGTTGCTCATTTACAGTATCCTCCGTCACTCTATTGACTCTTGGACAGTCCACCATGTACTTCTCCTGGCAAAACTCCAACCCTGGCTAAACCCCATCTGTCTACATCTGAATACCTGATGCTTGTATAAAATCACACAGTTGTATCAATTGGTTTTATTTCAATTTCATGACCACAGATCTCAGTTGGTCACTCACTACTGCCCTAGCAAGCCCACTTTATTCCTCTAATAAATTGGTTTTCCCCATCTGAGATGATGACTGAATGCCTACTTTCCTCCAACCTCCACGGACTTTCTACTCCCATCCATGAAAAGTTTATGTGAGAAAATAGAAACAATCAGTTATGAACTCCCTTATTTTTGTGCCACCAACGTATCTTACCTGCACCTACCCATGGATTCTGCCTTTTCTCATATTTTAGGGAAGAATTATTCATCTTTCTATGAAAAGTAAAATCCTCTACTTATTCTTTGGATTCCAGTCTTATCTCCTGAAGGACTTTGTTCCTAAAACACAATTTTCCCTCTTTCTAGAGGTGCCATGAGTCTAGAATCTTCCATCTGGACATAAACCTTGACCCATGTCATCTTCACATCTCTCCTCCCCTCACAGCCACCACCATTTTCCTATTTGCCTTCTCTATAGAACTTGTCAAAAGTTGTCTCTGCTCAGACTCCTTTTCCTCACCTCTTACTCTCTCCTCAACCCACCCTGGTTGGCCTTCCTCTCCACTCCACTTCATTGAAACTGCTCTGACTTACTGCCCTTCTCTCTGCCTCCATCCCTGTCATCATGCATGGAGATTTCAGTATTCTCATGGATGATCATCTGCCTGGCTTTCCCAGTTCTTTGACCTCACTTTGAATGATCTTGTCCCTCCCCATCTTAGGCATCCACTACCCTAGCTTTTGATAATATCAATTGCTATACTGTTTCTAAATTCTCTTTCAAGCATTCTAATCATCTGTCTTTCCAGCTCACTACTTGTACCCTCTCTCTCAGTTCTTCAACCTCAAAGAGACCTCCAATTAATTGGTCTTACTACCTTTTCATTATATATCACTGTCTTTTGTCCTTCTTTCTCTCTATTCTCATCTTCTTGCTGTGGTCCACTAAAGAATCACTTCTTTGCAAATACCCTGAACTCATTTGCTTCTCTCGTTCTTAAGTTTTGCCTGGTTTAATCCAACTTTTGTCTGCACTTACAAAACAGATAATGACATGAAAAAAGCAAACAACTATGCTGACTAGTCTTTAAATTTATGATGTTGAGCTTCAGGTGGGTGCTCAGTACTGCTTGACAATCATACTACATTCCCCCAGTCAATTAAATCTCCAAAATAATATCTCAGTGTTTTCTTTCCCCAAAGCTCCTACAGTCCTTCCGCCCTCTTCACTCTCAACTCATGGTTTTATTTTTTATTTCACTGAGAACAGAAGAAATCATAAAGATCTTTATATTTTTCTGGCACTGAGTCTACCAAACTACCCGTATCTGTGTGCTTGTATATCTTTTCTCCTGTTAATAATGGGTGGGCTGCCCTTCCTCCTGTTAAAGGCCATTCCCTCAACCTGTATGTTGGATACCAAACTGACTTCAAGGTCTAAGATCTTAAAGTTAGTCCCTCTCTCTCTTGCATTATTGTATTCCCCTCTCCCCTGTCTTGTTCCCAGTAGGATAAGTTTTTCTTAAACAAGCAAACAAAAAACAAACCCTCCTTAATTCCAACATAATGCTCCTATTTCTCTACTGTTCTTTACAGAAGAATTCCTGTAGTTGTCTATAAATCCTTATCACTACTGACTATTTTCATTTTCTTGAGAACTCACTTAAGCTTTCTTCCCTTAGCTAAAGCTGCTCATATTGAGGTCACAATGACCTCTGCCTTGCCACATTTAATGGCTATTTCTTAGTTCTCATTTTACTTGTTTGACACTTCTACTTCCTCCTCTCTTGACTTCTGGGATACCACTACCTCCATTGATGTCCTCATTTAGTTTCCATTGCTGGATCTTTCCCTTTCCAGCCTCTAGGTTGAAGTGACTGATGGCTCAGTTCTCTCAGATTCTTATAGAACATTCCTTATTCCCTGAGTGATGCCATCAGTTCCATGGCTTTAATTATATGCTGGTGGTTGCCATCAAGTTGATTCTGGCTCATAGTGCTAAGACCCATCTGACATCAGCAATGATATCCCTCGTTCTACGTCCTCTTCTGAATCCAGCCTGCACATCTGGAAATTCTCTGTGAATGTAGTGTTGCAACCATTTTTGAATTATCTTCAGTAAGATTTTACTTGTGTGCAATATGAATGATATTGTTTGATAATTTCCACATTCTGTGGAATCACCTTTCTTTGGAATGGGTACAAATACAAATCTCTTCCAATCAGTTGGCCAGGTAGCTGTCTTCCAAATCTCTTGGCATAACCGAGTGAGTACCTCCAGTGGGGCATCTGTTTGTTAAAATATCTCTATGGGTATTCTGTCAATTCCTGGAGCCTTGTTCTTTGCAGTTCCTTCAGTGCAGCTTCAACTTCTTCCTTCAATACCATTGGTTCTTGATTATATGCCACCTCCTGCAATGGATGAACGTTGACCAGTTCTTGTTGGTGCAATGACTCTGGTCTTTGTTATAGGTTCCTCTGGGTGGGTTCTAAGAAACATTTGGCCAGTAGTCAAGTGCCTAACCTTTTGTGCCATCCACGTACTTCATATATGCTGTAAATTCTCAAATCACCTCTAGCCTCAGTTTCTCCCTTGAACTCCAGAGTCTTATAACCAACTGTCTACTTAATGTCCATATTTGAATATCAAGTTGTTGTTGCTGTTGTTAGGGGTCATCTAGTTGGCTGCAACTCCTAGCAACCCTGTGTACAACAGATAAAACAATGCCCAGTCCTGCACCATTCTCACAATTTTTGCTGTGCTTGAGCCCATTGTCACAGCCACTGTGTTAGTCCATCTTGTTGAGGGTCTTCCCATTGTTTGCTGACCCTTTACTATGCACGATATTATTTCTCCAGGGACTGGTCTCTTCTTTTAACATGAACAAAGTATGTGAGACTAAGTCTGGCCCTTCTTATTTTTAAGGAGAATCTTGGCTGTACTTCTTCCAAGACAGATTTGTTTCTTTGCCAACAGCACAATTCAATGCATCAGTTCTTCTTTGATCTTCCTTATTCATTGCCCAGCTTTCACATACTTATGAGGCTACTGAAAATTCCATGGCTTGGGATAGGCATACCTTAGTCTTCAAAGTGACATCTTTGCTCTTTAACCCTTTAAAGCAGTTTTTTTCAGCAGACTTGCCCAGTACAATATTACATCTGATTTCTCAACTGTTGCTTCCATGAGCATTGATTGTGGAGCCAAGTAAAATGAAATCCCTGACAACTTCGATCTTTTCTCCATCTATCGTGATGTTGCTTATTGGTCCAGTTGTGAGGATTTTTTTCCCCTTTCTGTTGAGGTATAATCCATACTGAAGGCTGTAGTCTTTGATCTTCAACAGTAAGTGCTTCAAGTCATTTTCACTTTCAGCAAGCAAGGTTGTGTCATCTGCATGTCAGAGGTTGTTAATGAATCTTCCTCTAATCCTGATGCTGCATTCTTCCTCATATAGTTCAGCTTCTTGGATTATTTGCTCAGCATACAGATTGAATAAGTATAGTGAAAGGTACAACCCTGACACACACCTTTGCTGATTTTAAACTACTCAGTGTCCCCTTGTTCTGTTCAAACTACTGCCTCTTGGTCTATGTACAGTTTCCTCATGAGCACAATTATGTGTTCTGGAATTCCTGAACCACCACAGAATGACAGACTGACAGATGAGTGACTGTCAAGTAGGCATGTCAAATTTAATGTGTCCATAATTGAACTTTTAACTCTGCACCCAAACTTGTTCAAGTCAAAAACTTTGGAATCATTTTTGACACCTGTTTTTCTCTTATACCTGCCTGCAAACTGTTAGTAAATCCTAATTTCAAAGTGTATCTTCACTGCAGTGAAGTCACTTCACTGCAGTGACCATTTCTTAACATCTAA